CTTAGAGGGAAAAAAAAGGCCTCCAATAAAACTACATTGCAAAAAAATGGGAAAGAAACAGAAAGGAAAGATCCTGAAGAATTTATGGTAGAAAAAGTCCTGGACAGATGTGTGGTGAAGGGGAAAGTGGATTATTTTCTCAAGTGGAAGGGGTTCACAGATGCTGATAATAATTAGGAACCAGAAGAAAATCTAGATTGTCTAGAATTAATTGAAGCATTTCTTAGTTCTCATATAGCTGGTAAGGAAAAAGATGGTACAAAAAGGAAATCTTTACCTGACAGTGAATCTGCTGATAGCAAACTGAAGAAAAGATGCTGCTGACAAACAAGGGGTTTTGCCAAAGGTCTTGATCCTAAACAAATAATCGATGCCACAGACAGTAGTGGAGAATTAATGTTTCTGATGAAATGGAAGGCCTCAGATGAGGCATACTTGATGATGTGTCCTCAGATTGTCATCGCCTTTTATGAGGAGAGATTGATGTGTCATTCTTGAAGATAAAGTGCAATATTTGTTTGCATATATATGTATATATATATATGCATGCACATGTATATATATAATCTGGATCTTGGGTTTTGAATTACTAGTGTGGGAAGAATAGTGTTCTAGTGGAATTTGAGTTTGATATGCTGGTTTTGACAGTGTTGACAGTAGTTGGGATAGTTTTGGTTTTTGTTCTGCATCAAAAGGCACTGATTCCTTTGAGTAAATAAAGCTTTCTTAGTTGCTTCCTTTAAAAAATATGTGTTCTGTATACAAAGGGCAAGGGCATATGTGGGTATAGGTCAGAGGACAACTTGTAGGTGTCTCTTCTCCTACCATGTGGACCTTAGGGACTCAATTCAGGTCTTTAGGACTGTGTTTTGGTCATTAGGCTTGGTGGCAGGTGCTTTTACTTTCAGAGCTATCTTCCCCATCCAGATAGATATTGTGGGTGTGGGGGGTTTATGATTTGTTTATTTTCATTTTATAATGGGGTGTTTCACATTCCTAAGGATGCCAGAGAAAGGTGTTGGATGCCCTGGAAGTGGACTTACAAATGGTCATGAGCCACATAGTTTGTTCTGGGAAGAGCAACCACTCTGAGCCATCTCTCCAGTCCTAGGATATGGTATTTTTTAATTTGTCAAGATTAAAGGTGATGTCCTCTTTTTAAATTAATTATTTCTTCTTAATATTGTATGTGCATTGTGTTTTGCCTGCTTGTATGTCTGTGTGAAAGTATCAGATCTTGGCGTTACAGACAGTTGTGAGCTGCCACGTGAGTGCTGGGATTTGAATGTAGGTCCTCTGGAAGAACAGTCAGTGCTCTTTAACCACTGTGCCATCTCTCCAGCCCCATGATGTCCTCTTTTTATTTTTTTTTATTTTTTTGGTTTTTCAAGACAGGCTTTCTCTGTGTAGCTTTGGAGCCTATCCTGGCACTCGCTCTGGAGACCAGGCTGGCCTCGAACTCAGAGAGATCCGCCCGCCTCTGCCCCCCGGGTGCTGGGATTAAAGTCGTGCGCCACCAAAACCTGACGATGTCCTCTTTTTATTTTGAGACAGGGTCTCCATATTATATAGCCCTGGCTGTCCTAGAACTCACTCTGTCGACCAGACTGGCCTTGAACTAACAGAGATCCACCTGCCTCTGCCTCTTGGGATTAAAGGTGTGCGCACACATGTAAACCCATATCCTCTTTTAAAGCACACTATAAGTAGCTGTTGTGTCAACTTTCCACCCTCCCACACTAGGCCACCTGGACAGACAGAAAACCTAACACCATTCTGGAATTTCCGTACCCATTGTGACTTCCTGTGTCTCCAGTGCACTATGCAGTTAAGTAATCAGTTAGTACTAAGGAAGTGGGAGCCGTGGAGACAGTGAACCAAGAGAAAAAACAAAGCTAATTTTTCTGCAGTTACATCTCCAGCACTACGATATTTTGTTCTCTAATTCTTTGGGTTTCTCTTGGGTTTTTAGCTATATAAATAGTCCCGTGAGGATAATGATATTTGGTGGGCTTGAAGTAAATGTCAGGGAAATGGGAAAAGCTAAATAAGTAGATAAATCTGTGTCTAATGAGAACAAATGGTATAAAAGCATGCTACAGCTGATTGCTGTAGAGCTGATAAAAATGACTTACAGCTAGGTATCATTGAGGTCTGATTACAGAAGTGAAGCTGGGCTGACACACCTAGATTTCATTTAAGGACCACACCAGGGCCTTCTCAGTCCTAAGAAAGAAGACTGGCATGGGGAGATGCGTTCCCTCTTAGTTCTCCCAAGCCATGGCACTTCCCAGCAAAGTCCTGTTTGGATTTTGCTGCTTTGCCTGGCTATGTTTTCTCACTAGCCTCAGCTCTCAGGCTTCTAGGGGAGAAGCCCAGACCAGAGCCAGTGCAGCTTTGGAGTCTGAGGCAGATCCTTGGTCCTTGCTGCTGCCTGTAGAAGAGACCGACAGGTCAGGCCTCTTGCCTCCCCTCTTTAAGGTCCTGTCTGATAGGCGTGGTGAGGCCCCTAAGCTGCAGCCCGACTCCAGAGCACTCTACTACATGAAAAAACTCTATAAGACGTATGCTACCAAGGAAGGGGTTCCTAAACCCAGCAGAAGTCACCTCTACAACACTGTTCGGCTCTTCAGCCCCTATGTCAAGCAAGAGCCAGCTCCTGGCAACCAGGTGACAGGTGGGTAAGAGCAGATTGTTGAATTGGGTGGAGAGAGGAGACAGGAGCTTCGATGTTTCTGTTATTAAAGAAAGCCAGGCTTTGATTTGGGTTGGTTTGTTGGTTTTGAGGCAAGATTTTACCCTGTCACCCAGGCTATACTCAAACTCTGCATCCTCCTGCCCCAGTCTCTTGAGTACTGAGATCACACAGGTTTACAGTATCGTGACAATTTTATTTTGCATGATTCTCAGTATCCAACTAAAACAAATTTAGCACTTAACTTCCCACCGCCCCCCTCCCAGAAGAAAGAGTTTCTCTATGTAACAGCCCTAGCTGTCTTGAACCACACTGTCCTCAAACTCACAGAGAACCATTTGCCTCTGCCTCCCAAGTACTGGGACTAAAGGCATATACCACCACCACCACCTAGCTTTAATTTTTTTAAGTTCTTGATTTCTTTTGTTTTTCTAGGACAGCTTCGGAGCTATCCTAGAACTCACTCTGTAGACCAGGCTGGCCTTGAACTTCGAGATCCACCTGCCTCTGCCTCCCAAGTGCTGTGATTAAAGGCATGCGCCACCACTGCCCAGCCTTGAATTCTTTCTCGGTGTGGTGGTGCTAAGGATCAAAAGGATTGGAGGACTCAAATATGCTAGCTAAGCCCTCTGCTATAACATCCCTGGCCAGTAGCATTGATTACAGTTTTTGGTGTTGGTGTTGGTGTTGGTGGCCTAAATCATCACTAGTTAAAAAACTAGCATGGT